AAATGAGCTTAAGGCAGCATATCATGTCGACTGCCTGACTACCACTTTTCTCCAAGTATTGATCTTCGGATTCAATCGTTCTCATCATCATTAAATTCCACATCATCAAACTATCAGCCGTATTCTTTACCCACATAGACGAAGTCAAATTACTTATGATAGTTTCTTCATTAGTACTCAATAGTGTTTCTATTTAGGCCTTATATGTGTAAAGATTGTGAGATGTACATCCACTAGAGAAAATAGAGAATGAAGAAACAGACTGATAAGAGAAGAGATATGGTGTACTGAACTTCTGTAGTTTTGTGAAGTGAGAATATACTAGCAGTATCACTGAAAATAGAACAAAGATATGTCTCAATAATGATACTCTATTGAAATGCTTCTGAAGCTACCTTTCTGTGCCATACAACCTAGCTCTGTAATAAATTGCTGTGTTTGTTTTCAAACATTGTTAATACAAACTTAGCCTCCTTACACTTATTTAAGGTATGGATTGGCCTCGTCGTGGTTGTCATTTTAACTTCGCTGCTTACAATTTTCTTGAGAAAGAAGACTTCTGAGCGTCTAGCCAACAGGTGGACGTTTAGTCGAGCTCTTTGGTATTATTGTGGTGCTTTGATGTTACAAGGTTTGTTTATTCTCTTTATATTAATATTTTACATCAAGTTTATGCAAAATATTTAAAGCTGCCGATATTCTTATGTTTCTTGTTTCCCGTATATGTTACAGCAAAAACACATTGGGCTATCTTCTGTATACACTGTGGTGAATCAAACCCCGGATTTTAGCGATGTAAGTACGTAAATTATCGCTTTCCAATTGTTGGATATATTGTTATGTATGGTATTGATACAGTTTTTATATAAAAGTAAAACCTTGAAACATGATTTTTTCTTAAAACTGTATGAAAAGACAGAAAACTGGAACATGAAAATAGACCTGTACTAACTGATAGTAAAATCTGAGTTTTTTAAAGGAAACGAATGCTAAACCCACTTTTGCTAAAGAGAAGACAAGCTGTTATAAATAATCAAAAGCCTCAAAAAGTGAAAAAAAATCAATTGATAATGATTTCCTTAAATTACTTAATCTTACCTCCAATTACCTGTTATATATAAAACTATTTTTAAACCATTAGTTCTGGTATTGAGTAAAACGAAAAACTTTACTGATAATTGAAAGAACAAATATTTTTGTTTAATAATGTCCTCTGTGAGACAGCGGTAAGTCTTTGGGTTTACAAAGCTAAAATCAGGGGTTTGAAAACACACACTGATTAGTAATAATTATCATAATAGTACTGTTTTGAAACGTTTTTACTTTCTTTTGATTTCACTATTTTTTACACTAAGGTACCCTTGGTAGTAAGTCGTTGATTTATTATATTTAGTCGTAGAAAAATAAGACAATAAAAGTATGTAAAGTAAATTATTGGATATAATAACTGCCTTATCCAAGTAATGGATAATATGTATGTTATAATAGTTGTCTCATTGACTTGGTAAAGTAAATTATTGGATATAATAACTGCCTTATCCAAGTAATGGATAATATGTATGTTATAATAGTTGTCTCATTGACTTGGTAAAGTAAATTATTGGATATAATAACTGCCTCATTCAAGTAATGGATAATATGTATGTTATAATAGTTGTCTCATTGACTTGGTAAAGTAAAACAGCAGGTGTC